TGTGTTTTTGTTAATTAATCTCTATTTTTTCTTCTTAGCAGATGGTCTGTATGTGTATTTTGTTGGATTAGTATGGTGGGATGGTACAAAATTTGGCTTTCTTCTTCTCCATTTTTCTATAAATGTCTGTTTATAAGTCTTATAGTCCTGTGAATTTTCTACACTACTTTCAACTTTCCGCGATGATTTAAAGCAACGTCCTGAAAACAATTGCCTATATATGGATTGAGAACGAGTTCAAGAACTCGAATTAGCTTACTTAATACATCGTGAAAATGATCATCCATGTATGAATTGAGTACAAGAAGTCGAGTTCAAGAACTCGAATTAGATTACTAGGCTGAAAAAGAAATAGTATCGCTCATTCATCAGCAAATAATACTAGGAATAATACCTACCAAACTCGAATTAGATTACAAGGCTGAATAATTTTATTTCAAAATTTAATTAATGGACATTATTAATCAGTCGGTGTGACCTAAGATTTTCTAGTATAAAACATTTGTCATTATCGAAGATTAAGAAGCATGGGATGGGAATACTAAACCACGGCAAGCCCATAAAATTATTTAGAGAAAAATTGAAAGAAAGCCTAAGTGGGATCACAATAAAAAAGGTAAATAAAAAACGTGTGGGAATTGAAAAGATGTTTCACCAACTTCATTTTTCAATGATAATATATTTCTCCTTTATATTCTGGTTGAGAACGAACGACAATAATAGAAGAACTCATAATTTTTATCGGTATTCTAAAAAGCGCGTTAGACGGGATGCACGGCAGAAACGCCAAGTTAAGTGATTTGGCGTCTTATTTAGCGGTCAATGACGATCGTTGACCACTAATGCATATCTAGACGCGTATTATTATTATTATTATTATTATTATTATTATTATCTTTTTTACAATTCTTTTAAATTAAAACTAAGGTTAATTTACATTTGAAACTGATTTTTTTGTTGGAAACTTGTGAAAAAAATGTAGAAAGTTTTTATACATTTGTTTTAAATGTTTGATATTTTTAATTATTAAATGATTTTTTGATTGATTAAAAATGTTGAAAATATTAAAATAAGAAAACGTGTTTCTATATTTTTTTATGCATATGTCTCGCCTAACCTCGCTTATCTCATAACTTGGCATTCATGGATCGTCACGCATTACGAAAAACAAACAATTTTTCAAAATACTATAAAAAGAAAAATTCCAGAAGTAAAAAAAAAAAGGGTTGTTAAAAACAAACAATTTTTCAAAATACTATAAAAAGCTAAACAAACAAATTATTTCTCAAAATACTGTCCAAATTTCTTTTTATTTTTTAATCAAAATACAGTTTTTACTTCAGTATATATATTTAGCTCATGTTGGGCTCCATTAAAAACTAATTTTGAGGAAAACGTATTTTGAAATAGTGATTTTTTGAAAAATGCATGCAGATAATCGAGCCCAAACAAGGGCTTAGTTTTAACATCATTTTTTTTCACCGTTTTTAAAGATGTATTATATTACACAATCTGTCGATAGTTTCTGTTACCTACGTCAAACAACCTTAACCATCATTGCTACGACATTTACACAGCCAGCCAATCTGCCACCCCACCACCACTAGATCTGCTGCATCACGATTGATATTAGATCTTCACAACTATCAAGTCGTCATCTCCCACCACCACAGATGGTATCTCAATATTCTACCACGTCATTGCCACCAATCTGTATCATCACCAAACCGCCATCTCCCACCACCACAAACAACATCGGAATATTCCTCCACCCCACCAACATCAATCTACAACACCACTAAGCCACCATCTCTTACTGCCACAAATGGTATCGAAATATTCCACCACGACCATCCATAACCCCATTACTACACCAAATTCAGTGGTCGATTTGTACACTATTACAAAAACAAATTGGAGCCCACAAACAAGCCCTAACTAAACAACCACCGCCACCGACACTCGTTCAAAGCCACTGAAAATCTGCATTGGCGCTATCACTAGTACAACAAGCACATCACCAAATGTCCAAATCTCTTCCTTCAGTTGCTTTTGCATGTTTATATGCATATACTCTCAAATAGCCCATTTGGTGGTAATTTTTTAGAAAAATATTATTTTGAATAGCGAATTTTTGAAAAATGTGTTGCTAAAAAAGTAGGAAAAAAATTTTGGGTTTATATGTAAAATATTTTATTATGTGAATGTATGGTTGAAAATGAGTATGTAGAAAAGGAATTTTCAAAGAATAAAAGACAAAAGGAGGTTAACGAAAAAATTCTCATTTGTTGAATAAAAAAGTAGTAACGGTAAAACTGAAATTTTTAAAGTAAAATACATGTTCCCCCATGTTTCTCTATGTACCAACTTATAACTATGAAATTAACATCACATTATTGTAAACTAACTTAGAAACCTCAAGTTACATAGTTGAGTGGAAGAAAGGGCATCTTCAAAGGTAACACCAAAATGCACCAAATTTTGGTGCAAAAGCTCTCCAACATGGCACCAAATGGTGCAAATAGGGATGGCAACGGTTCAGTTCGGGGTCGGTTGGGCCAAACTCATAACCGCACCACCAAATTTTTGGTCATACCATAACCGCACTATAACCATGAAAGTCGGTTCGGTTCGGCTCAGTTAATATCTCGATTCGGTTCGGTTCGGTTCGGTTAATAACCACGAAAATAAATTATATTTTATAAATACAAACTCCAACCGTCAAATTAAAAAAAAAAATTAAGAAAAGTCAATAAAAATAAAAAAACATGTCAAGACATCTGAAAAATAAAACACATCAATCGAACATATTTAGATCCAGTAATTTGAGTTCAACTTCAACAGAAAGTATGCATAATCAAATAAATCCCAAGATCTCAAACATGTTCAATTAAAAAAAGAAAACTAGACACCTAAATCACCTTGAAGACTTAAATCGATCTGAAATTGGGGAAATTGGAGAGAAATCAAAACTAATCATAAGGCTATCAATGTTATTCATAAACAAATCTTTATCAATCTTTATGTGATACCCATTACAGATTCAACTGAAAGATTACTAAATCAAACGTATCCCAAGATTTTAAACATAATAAATTGTGAAAAATAAAGCTCGGATGCATCATGAAAACTCAAAATTGACCGGAATTGGGGTAAATGGAGAAAAAACCAAAACTAATCATTAAACTACCAATGTTAATTGAAAACCAAACTTTATAGATTCTTTTTCATTAACCATTGCAGATTCAATAGAAATACTGTTAAATTAAAAAAATCCCAAGATCTTAAACATGTACAATTCCAAAAACTAAACATCAGAATCATCGCGACGGATTTGAGTGGAAGAGAAGTGGAGGCTGTAGGGTTACGACATGAGTCACAGGACATGGTTTTAACTTTTAACGTGTAGGTAGTATATTTAAATTGGACTATCTCGGTAGTGGACCGGGTTAAAAACTATGAATAGTGTTAGGCTATTCATTATTGGTTTATTTAATATTAATTGGGCTAGAATTTTGGGAAGCCCAATTGTCAAAATTGCCTAATTAATTTTGGAAAAGAATTATGGAAAGTCCAATTAAATTTTTTTTAACGGGTAATCGGTTCGGGGCAGTGCATCATCGCTAAATATCATACCCGCCCCTAAATGAATCGGTTCATTAAAATCAAAACCATAACCGCCCCATTGCATCATCGGTTCGATTTTTTTCGCCCAATTCGATTCGATTAACCGTGGTTTTCGGTTTTAACAGTTCGAATTGTCATCCCTAGGTGCAAAGTCAAAATAAATATGACAAACACGATTAATTAAAGTTAACACGAAATATATTATAACAACCACATACATACATTTCTCTAGTATTTAAAGAAAACAATACATTAATCAATCATTTGTGGGAAGAACATACGAATTTTCAGAATTAAATTGCAACACTATTTTGACTTTGTAATATAATAATATCCAAATTCGAAATGTATTGCACTATTTTTTGAGAACATGATTTAATATTTTCTTTTTTGTAGTGTTTCTATTAATTATACTATATTTTTTTTATATCTATTAATGAATTTAATATTTTCGTTAATTTAACGTAATTATTCATTTAGTAATTTTTATATTTGTAAAATAAATAAATAAATAATTTTTCAATAAATAAATTATTAAGAAGAAAATAATTAAACACTGTTCATTTGGTGTAAATTTTGGTGTAATGGTTGAAAATGATTTTTAGTTTGGTGCAGAATTTGGTGTAAAATAGTGCAAAACTTACGTCAAATTTTGATGCAGAGTTGAAGATGGTCTAAAAGGGTACATTTTTTTTTTCATGTTATTACCTACCCTCTATTTTGAATCACCACGAAAAAAGACACACATATGTTGTCCTTATTATTAACTCCTTATTGTTTTCACACACATATTAATTAATGTCGTACAGTTTATATAATTAAATAAATCATCTGAGTTTCATGATCGTCTACCCTCTTATGAGTTTATAGGGCTCTCTAGATGACAACAAGACTAGGCTCAACGATGCTAGAAATCGACTCGATCTTTTTTCCCGTTCAAACTTTCCAATTCCTTGAGAGCCAATATTTTCAATTTCTCAATCTTTTCTTCCACTCCCTTGGAGCCCGTTTGGTAGGTATTAAAATGAAAGTTTGTAGAAAAATCGTGACCGTTAGTGGACCAACTTGAGACCTATCATAGAGATAAAAAGTCAAAAAAATTGGTTGGAATATGAGCCCAACGGCTCTTTATTTCATTTTGCATTCCTTGTATTATTCCAACATGGAGCCCGTATTTTCTCAATTTCGTCCTCGGCTCCACCTCCCAATATAGCTCCACATGCATGCAGCTCACCTTCATTTTTCTTGCCAACATATTCAGTAATCCATAGATGTAGCCATAACACAACCCATTCAATAATCCCCACATCGATATTTGAGTCATTAATTTCCAATTCACGGTACAAGCCGTCCACCATCCCCTCCGAGCCGGGTTATTTCGATAATAATCCGTAGGATATTATCCGGGTTGTGATTTTGGGCCAGGTCCATGGACCTGGACAAAAGCTCCAGCCCAAATGGAACCATGACATCTCATGTAAGAGGCTCAATACTGGGCTCGAATTTGTGTTGGATTTTGGGTATGTAACTGGGCCTGCCCGTGATTGGCAGGTGCTCATGATAATACGCCGCGGCATCAGATGAATAGCTGACGCAGCCGCCATAGCATGGCCGCGGTCACCGCCCATAAGCTTGCACGCCGCAATGCACAGTGCCGGCTCCGTCGTCCTTGGAGAGGCAAAAGTGAGGTAGTGCATAGGCTGAAAGACAGTTACCGGCAGCATAATTGGGATACCCTTCTTCAAATAAGCTTCTCTTGACACACAAAATGTGCAGCCCAATTAAAAGGGCCAAAGAGCGAAGCCCAATTGAAGGTCCAGTGCGAAAGCCCAGATAAGAGTGTGGACAAATGACATGGAAGCCCACAAGCAAAGTAACGATATCGCCCAAGCTTGCAGAACGCTCAGAGCCTGAGCGAATAGAATACCCTGTAGACGCCCAGA